GAAAAAAACCCACCGCAGCTATAAAAGGCCTATGTGTCAGTCTCTTCCGTTACCCACAGTCATTGCAAGCAATATTGTGCTTGAATAATGTTTCATTTCCAAAGCAAACTGACAATCTGGATGAGAAAGAAAAGGTGCTCTGGAGAAATAAAAAGCAATTCAAAGAGTGAAAAGAAATGGAAATGACTGAGAAGAAACTATATTTTGATGACCATGTTCTCTAAATGACCCATCCTCAGGTAAGCCAGGATCCCAAGACAGCCCTTCTGCTACCAAGTTCTCATCATTCCTCATTTTTCTAGAACCTTCCCTTGAGGAGTTTCGATGTCTGAAACTTTGCAGAGTTGGAGGATGTACTACAAAAGATAGGCTGCTGCTAGGGATAAGGTGAACGTGGGTACCCAGGAAGCATTCACTTAATTATTTACTCACACACTCATTTGACATTTACCAGGTGCCCATTATGTGCCAGTGACCAGACCATGTGCAGTGGGTGGCGATCGCGGTGGCATTGGCTGTGAAGGAGGAAAAGTCTGTTTTGATTGTGTCTTTCCCCATCTACCATTGTCTACTTTCCAATAAGGGCATCCCTCACTGGTGTTTCAGTGCTTTCCTAGCACTGGTCTGCCTGCTGCCACCTGCTCTCTTCTGCAGCTGCCAGAGGACCTCAGGCAAGAATGCTCACGCCCTCCATGGTCCCCACCACCTCCTGCCCTAGTATTCCATGACCCAAACCTTGCCCAACCCTCTGCCTCCCTCAAAACTGATCTGTCCTGCTTCCCATGCTCTCATTTTTTTCTGTAATGTGATATATAAGGCATGCACAAATTCTATTGAATGAAAGTATTTGCACTGCAACAGGGCAGCAATGCAGTGAAGATTGATGCAGCAATATCAGAGGATGGTATGTATTGTCACCGGGTCTCAATGTTCTGTACATTTAATACTTTGCTTCTTAAATTTCAAATTGCACGAGGGCTCTATTTTTCCGAACATTGCTCAGAAAGAATTTGGTTTCCTTAGTAACCAAGGCACATGGGGAAAAGTTTAGAAACTCGCCACTAAAGAAATATGACAATACTAATAAAAATATCTTAAATTTGCAAATCACTGTATACTTTTCAAAAAAAAAAACTCCTTAAGCACGCATTTTTACAAACCTACTGCTATGGACTGAATTTTTATGTCCCCTAAAATCATACATTGAAGACTCGACCCCCAGTGCGATGGTGTTTGGAGGTGGAGGTCTTCGGGAGGTAATTAGGTTTAGATGAGGTGAAGAGAGTGAGGCCCCGGTGATGAGATTAGTGCCCCTGTGAGAAGAGGGAGGCCAGAGCTCTGTCTCTGCCACGTGAGGACACAGCAGGAAGGTGGCTGTCTACAAGTCAGGAAGGGAGCCCTCACCATAATCTGAGCATGCTGGCACCCTGATCTCAGACCTCTAGCATCCAGAACTACGAGGAAATAAATTTCTGCCGTTTAACCCAGTCTATGATATTTTCTTACGGCAGCCTGAGCTAAGACACTTATTTGTGAGCGAGACAGGGCCAGGTCTTCTGTTCCAGAATCACTGCTGGGTAAGTAAGTTTGCAATCATGGCGAGGTGCATGTCTCATTCTCAGGCTGGCCGACATGCTTATGCTGGGTGTTGGACTGCAGAGCGTAGTGCCAGGTTGCTTTCTCGAGTCAATAACCTTCCACGGCAAGCCCCCAATGTGCATGGTTAAAGCTTCACGTTAGAAAGGAAATTCCCCAATTAAAACATGCAAAGCATCAGAATAAAGTTAGAAGGGACAGGGGGACAGGTGATTGGGGAAAAGGAGTAGAATCATAATAATAGACCAATAAATAAAATGAATCAATGGTAGCTATTAGGGGAGACGCTCAGCTTGGCAGGGGGGACAGAGATAGGGAAAGATAAACTGGCTGCCAAAGATTAAGGAAGCAGAAGACTGAAGAGATGGCCAAAAATTCTCTATTCTTCTGGATTCCAACCTTGAGGTTTATTTGGGACAACCTGCCTTTGCCCTGAACTTGGGTTTGCTCAGTCTCTAATCTTCCTCGGCTATGACAGTGTACTGCTATCATATTGTATGTGAATTTTAAATATGCAAGCGTGAAATAGTTTGATATAATCATCTCAGTAAAATTCCATTTATTTGCAAAATTTTAAATAATGAAAATTCCTTCAAATTAAAAAATAATTGTCACGAAATATAACATCATTTCCAAGTTGCTGGAACAAGTAAACAGCAAGCTCTGACCACACAGTTGTATACGGCAACGCAGGATAACTTTGCAATGCATCCTTTGTTAGTACTGGGCCAACCGGGTAGTTGTTTATATGCACTTTGACTTCTCCATCTGATTTTGATAGATATCCTGTTATCTTAAAATTTACTGCTAGTTATAATTTAAAGCATTTTATGTCCTTTTTAAAATTTCAGAACATTACAGGGGTACAAACGTTTCGGTTACACGAATTGCTTTTCTACAGTTTGAGTCAAAGTTGTGTGTCCATCACCCAGTGCACTGTACCCGTTAGGTGCGGATTTACACATCCCCCAAATACTTTATGTCTTATCACAATATCAACCATGCATTGATTAAAAGGTGGCACTTGTGACTTGTGCTAATGCTGTAAAGTGTGCTCCAACAATCTATTACTCTAGAATGGAAGCTATTAACAGGAATAATAAAGTGATACGAAAAAGGCCAAACCATACAGCGCTGAGTGTAGTCTGGGAAATACCAGCCATGGTGCTGGGGTAATAAGAACTAGCAGCACAGCCAATACGCCTTGAAATTCACAGAGGCCGTCCTGTAAGGAGGCAGGTAGAGTGCAAGAGACAGGAGGCAGACTGCAAGAGCAATGCGGTCTTACTGGGTCCCAGAGCAAAGCTGGTTATAAATGCGTTTTCTAAGAACCATCTCTTTTCTTTATATTTAGCCCTAAGGGAAAAGTACTCTTGAAATAGACAGGCTCTGATTAAGAGGGGCTACAAACAAAGCATCTTTCAACTGACAAACCCCAAGGCCCACAAGGTAGATAAGTACATTTTTCAGCCCAGCCTGGAGAAAGAAAGGTTCCAGCTTCGCAATCTTTTCCTTAATCAAGTCTCAACTTGGCAGGGTCTGGGATTTCCCTCCTCCCATGATGGGCAGCTGCCCACTGGCCCCGGCTGGGGCCTATGATCCCCATAACTTCGCGTGGCTTTGGTACCCGCACACCCTGCTCTGGGGGGGACACCCTCCACCCACTCCAGGGAGATCAAGGTTTCCTTTCATGCAACCTCTGCCCTGAGTATTTTCCTCCTTCAACAATTTGAGTTTTGTGACTTCTGCATTAATTAGATATCTTTCTATAACCTTATGGTATAG